TGCAGATATTAAGAACAAAAATTTGTGAATATTAACAATTTCAGACAATTCTAAATGTTTCTACACATTATAAATGTAACAGCAACAAAAGATCCTGTATTACTTTAGAGTAATAAAAGACCCCGTCTTACTTTATTTGTTCATGTTCATGATAAAAATTTTTGTTGAATGATGCATATTCCATTGCTGCATGATCAATCGGTTGAAGTGGATCGATCACTTTTTTCCATGTCCAAATTATATTACCATCTTCATCGTATTCATATATTTCATCTTCAAGTGTGTTTGTTTTATGTTCTTCCATAAATCTGAAACATTATTTCTTCCCTCTCGTGTCCGATTGTTTTAAATAAAAGTAACGATTATACGCTTGAGTCTGCAGTAATCTGTTCCTTCCAATACTATTAGAAGCTTAATCCTATCTTATAATCCAGTTTCTAGAATTAGTTAATTCTTAAAACTCGAAAACGATGGATAAGACATGATTTTCATTACTCCTCACCGTCTGTAAAGAACAAAATACTTCAACAGCTTACTTGAAGTACGATTCTTGCATATCCTCATCATCAATGTCCGCCCGTCCCAGCCCCTTATCTTTATCATCTTCTAAATCAGTACCCTTCTCTATTTTTACGCATCGTTCTTTATCCTTTCTTTCACTTTCTGCTTTATCTTGTTTTGCCTGAAATAATACAAAGTTCAGTTCTTGAAGTCAACCTGGAATGTTTAGAGAATTATAAAATTCTTTAGTAATTGCAGCGCCTTAAAAAGAACCTGTTAGCACAGATATAGAAACAGTAACCATTTACAAAAGAGAACTATCAGAAAGTCAGGTCACTTCCTCTTTTCTTTCTCATTACGGCGAATTAAATAAAGATTGATTGAAATTAATGAATTTCTTACTGAAAGAAAGATAAAAGAAGAAAAAATAGTTGAAAAACTCCGAACCTGTTTATCAACTCCTGCCATAAAAGCATCCAATGGATCTTCCTCTTCGTCACCGTTAACACCACCACCATCATCACCGATGGATGCTGCATTTGCTCCAGGGCTTCCGGGTACAGGCTGATATTCTAACTCATCGTCTGAATCTTTCTCCAAATACCTGAAGTATACAAAGAAATAAAGTGTGAAGTTTTACGGTGTAAGCACTTGTCAGTTTCACGTAAGCAAGTATTACTTGAATCCGACTATTCGATGCGTACGTTTGCAAACAAATTCAGATTTACAAAGTCAATGTAGTTATGAATTTCATCGGAATAAAAAAATTTAACTGAAGTTTCTATCATGGCGTGGTAACCGATTCAACCAGAAAGAGGGCAGTTTACCGCAGAAAAATGCTGTAGAGTAAATAAGAACAATACAGAGTCACGCGCTATATGGAGGCTGAGACAGAAGGAAAGTCTTGAAATCAAGACTTAGGACTGGACATTATCCTTGAAATCAAGGATAATGTCCAGTCCTAAGTGGTTCAAATTTTCTTTTTAATAAAAAGCGCTGCACCATCAATTTGCTTAGTGCCAACTTACTCGTCATCGTAGATTTTCTTCTTACGCGGTTCAGGCTTGCCAGTTGTGGATTTCCCACCATTCGACATCAAAGCATCGTACTAACAACAAAAATACAAATCAAAATGCTCCATGGAAACCTAACTACCCATTAAATTGAAAGTTGTTTTACAAAAATTTCGAGTACTTTAATAACTTCAAAAAAGATGAAAGTATTTCAACAATATACCTGTTCTTCCTTCTTGCGTTCAAGATCTTTGGTCATAGCATCGCTCACAACAGCAGCAGCATTCGGAATTGTCAACTGAGCTGGGGGTGGAACGGCACCCATAAATCCCGAGGCAGTCGGAAAACGAACAGTTGGCTCGAAATTGGAAGGCTTCGAATAAGCAAATCCTCTACGCATGTTCTCTGAATGTTTTACAAACTTGAATGAAAGGTACACCGAACAAGCAAATCATAGGAGAATATGCATACAAATAACTGCACACATCTCGAATAGTGATGTAACCATTTTAAATATGGCTTTTCTGATCATAACACCGGCCATTAAATCTTCTTAAACTATCCCTCGCAAAATTATTTCTCAAGTTTTCCCTCATGAAATCATTTCTCAGACTGTTTCAAGCTTCCGAGTACATGTCCAATCAACTTTGACATTACCCTCAAATGTTGCAATTGTATTTTTGTCTAAATGTCTACAGGAACAGGTTAGCCAACATCCAACTAATCATTTCGGTCTAAAACTAAAACAAAAATTGATGAATAATATCATTTTCGAACAACAACAAACTTCCATCTTTACTCTGGCAATCGAAAAATCGCTAATTCATAATTTTTATCGATTTCACCATTTCCTCAAAACACGGGGTCTAGTAGCGCTCTGTGGTCTTCACAACAGCGCTATGTTATTCCTTGCGAAATCTTCCAGATACTTTACGGTGCTATTTTGGGATCTCTCGGGTCTCTCCATCCTGAACACTACCCTTTTCTCCCCAACCACACTCCCTTTTCCAGTCACTGAAATTCAACTGTATTAATTCCGATAAAACCACGGTCTAGCAATCACTTTAGGTGGTCGCGGTCCGGTGGTCTGTAAAATTTTGATTCTGACAGAGAGGAGGCTTGACGATGTTGTAATGTTTGTAAGGTGACCTTGGGGAAGTGAGGCATCCTGAGAGATAAGAGTGAGGGTTTCAGGTATTGCGATGGAGGCGGATTGGAAGGTCACGTGATCTGAGGAATATACATAAGAAGTTTGAGGGATTTTCTCACTTCTGTTTTATGGTATTAATGGGGAATTCATGTGAATCTAGTTGATTTCTTGACTTTTTGGGAATTTAATCTAATGAAATGATATGTTATGCATCGATCACTCTGCTTTACGTACCTTCATACTGTGTATTTCTCGTTGATAGCTTGTAACTGGCAAATGCTGTTGAAGTTTACTTCAGTTACATTTGTGGGCCTGAAGAGGCATTTCAAAAAATGGCTTCAGGCCTATTAACGAAGAATTTTAGTAGTTTGCCAGAAGAAAAAGCGAATGTAAGCGATATTTGATCGTTGAAGGGAGATCATCATTGCAGATTTCTGGATGGCGGCACAGACAGGATCAAAAGCGGACGAGGAGGATAAATTTGAACCAGGAAGTAGTACCTCTACTGCAGCAATTTCTCGGCGGCGGATCATCTACCGACCATTTTCTATAAATCCGCATACTTCAACAACTACCGTTACAGCAACTATAAGAGACACTCTGATAGCTGTTCGAGATGCAGTTGCTGCTTCTATCATGACTACTTCCTCCTCCACTTTTCCTAAGGCATCTACTAGTACCGCCAGTGCTACTGCTGATACAACGACTATCAGTACTTACGCTTCGAATATTTCACAACAGCATGCTGTTTGTTTGACCAATCCAGAAACGAACACAGCCACACCTGGCAATAATACCATTAACAAAGTACCCCGTCGATGGGAACAATGGAACAGCTCGGAAATTAACGCATTCTTCGAGGGTATCAAATTGGTTAGTAGTTTTGTGAGGACATTTCTTTCGTTCCTTCTACACTGAGTTTCACTTGTTTAGGTTTTCTAAAACTGATGGGCCTTTGAGCTAATCAATCGGTGAATTCTCATGTGATGCTAAATGTGCAACTGTTTCATTTAGTAGGCTGTTGGCGATTCGGAACACTTATCCAACAGAAATATCCTACCGACCTATCCTGGAGTTTTTGGAGCATTTTAATACTTTCCGCTGCGCTTCAACACTACTTAACCTCAACTGTTGTGGTCTTTCATCATGTTGAGGCAGCTCAGTGGATTTTACAGAGCTTAGATATTTGAGTAACGATCTCTTTTATTTGAACAATATGAATTTTTTTCTTTTGATTCGGCTAAGAAAGAGCTGCTTAATTGGTCTGCCTTAGAAAAATGATCCACACACTTGGCAATAGCTATTAAATCAAGGAGATTTATCTCCGATAGTAACTATGTCGTAGCTTTGCCAGAACATCGCAACTTCTGAAGTGGCCAACGGTTAGATAAGTAGTTGTGATAGATGTTTCACATTTCTAGTATGGAAAAGATTTCGAACAAATGGCAAAATTGATGGCACGGAGAAAATTGAACAAAGACAAGGATCAAGTTCGTAATTATTATTTCAATTCGCTCAAACTGCTGAGATCTTCAACACGTATTGATGAAAGTTAGTTTCTTTTTTCCTAATTTTAATTTCGCTTGTTTTCGATGATTAGTTCATGTCCCAAGTTTTAATAAAAAAATTCATAGCAGTTTTATTGTTTTTGGTGTGAAATATCGTGATAAAAAACACTGATGTAATTGAAGATGTTGGACTTCATTTCACATTTCACGTTATGACGTATTTTCCATAGTATAGGAATGTTCAGTATTCACATCGATAAATAGCTACTTATCCGCTACTAAGTAATAGATCCTGTGAACATCTTTAATATTTTGGAAACTTCAGCCTTGATGGCAGGTATACCACGAGATGTTAAGGAGTTATTTATTTTGATTAATGGATTTGAATGGAAGAGAAGAGTTTGTGGCAAGTTTGATCAAGCCAAATTTCAGCAACTAGTTATGGAAGGGTTAATATTTTATTATAATTTTTGGAATTTCTACAGAAGTCTAAATTTCGAAGTTTGTTTCTTCCAGATATTCACACTGCTCATATGTTTGCATTGCGCCCTGACATCTGCATAGCTCATGCAGCCTTTTTTATCTGTCGGATAAGCTGCAATAGATTAGACAGTAAATTGCAACTGCCTTGACTACTTTTACTCCATTGTCTGTATCTGATACGAAGATTTCCGTGGAATTTGTTTTCAGATTGTTATGAAGAACTTATAAGTATAGTATTCTTGAAATTATTGAAGATTTTATGGGTTAGATTGCTTTTTTATAGATCAACGTATGAGAAGAAAAGAAAGAAAAAGCAGCTAGTACTGATACGTACGCCAGTTTGTCCTTCTTTGCAGAAATTTTTCCCGAGTATGCCAAAGTTTTCTTGACGATTACTGATATTACTTAAATAAAAATCATTAAAAAAACGAAAATATAGGGACCAGTCAGAAAGTCATTTTTCTTTGAAATTAGAATTCAGTTTCAATTTTCCAACCGAGTTCCATTTTATTATTTTTGAGAATGAGTAGACCCTCATTACTTATTATTTCCCGCGCGCAGCATATTCCCAGTATTCTATCTGTTTCCAGGTTGCAGCTCATCACCATTACCATCGCATATTTTTATATGTCTCACGCCGAAAACCGAAGCTGATCGTTATTTCGTGGAGCAACGTGGACAAAATCCTTTGATTAGAATCAGGGTCGCCATTAGCGATCAACTTAGTCGTATTTTCTCATTTCTTAAGATAAAATGGAGTTTGCGGATCCAGAAATTGGTATTATTTAGTTTAAAATTGTTTAGAGCCCAATTCAAATATTCTTGAAGCTTTTATTAAATGCATAAGTTTCCTACCGCTTAGTCATGATAATCTGACTATGGTGGACATGTGTTATATTGGTTCATGGGAAAAGCTCACGATGCAGATCGTTAAATTGGCTATTAAATTCACAATTGTTTCTTATGGAATCCGGGAAAACTTGATTGGAATTTCTTCACATTTTCTCTAGACATATTATGGTAAAAATTATTCAGCTTGGAACCATGTCGAAGGAGGAAGAGCAACTAACAGTGGTATTGTATCCCGATAAATCAACTCGCGTGGGCAAGATAATTGTGAATCTGTATGAAGCTACGCCGACGATATTTTCAATAAATAGGCAAGCCCTGTTGGATTCATACTATATGGATTAGAATATAAAGAAAATGATTTGAACGTAAATTTATACTAAAATTTCTCTCAGGCTAACTATATAATTGCTCATTTGAAAAGTATACACCTTTTAACTTTATTCGTTACTGCGTGACGTAAGACAGCTTTAGAACATCACTTTCCTTTAGGTTTATAAGTTGGGTGTTCCTGAGACAGTCTTTACTGCTTATTTTTTTCATTGCTAATTTTTTTAATACCATTGTTAGGTATGATTGTAGGCTGGTAAAAGAACTTCAACGAACGGGAACCATTGAACAAAGCAATGAACTCTCTAAACGTAGGAGTACAAATGCTGGCGAAGAAACATCCGAAGATGTAGAGATGTCAAATGCCACAGAAGATGATGATGATGATGGACCATTTACAATCAACGAGAACAAGCTGCGTGGTGGACTTACTGAAAAAAACGTTCTCAAAGCTACTGTGACTGAATTATATTATTTGGTGCGCACTTACTAATTCTTGTCATTTTTCAAAATACGTCAAACACTTGCTTCCGTTTTACATTGAATCATGCTCAGAAATAATGAACAGTTCTCGTAATTTATGATCTTTTTCTAGTACTACAGAATTTTTTTAGTTATTGGTTTGTAAAAACTTTATGCATTAATTGTGATGGTTGCAATTTAAGTGTGGTAAAGAGTCTGAAATCAAACTTGTTTATTCAACGGGGATGAAGCGAATGGGCGATCCCGAACCATGGCGTATTTTTCTTCATCTTCTAGATCGTGGTTACGGTGACAATCTTTGTAAGGTAAATCTACTGTTTTTGAATTTTCGATCAGTTTTTTGTTTTCCGGAAGTTAATTTGAAACATTGCACTGGATGCATATGTGGATTACATTTTTTGTTGACTGTTGCGCTGATTGTAACTTATTAGGTCGCGTCCTTGCCTTATTTCTTAAACGAATACAAGTCATATTTACTGAGAAAACTTCCGTTCTTTTTTTTCTCAATATATGTCCACCATTTCATTCAATCAATCAATTCGTAATGAAGGGCGATCTTCCAACTACATAACAAAATTACGATCTTATGTTTGGAAATACATCCGGTGCTGAAATAAAAAATAAGGTTTGGCATCGGGAACTGTTCTTCATTAAGCAAAAATATTATTAAGTCGGGTTAAGCAAAAATAAATGTTAAGATGTATAGGTGCACTCTTTCCTTCCTTCAAAAAATAAAAAATAGGAATTCTAACGTTTTGTTGAATTTCTTAGTTGAAGTATTATATTTTTCGTAAACTGCTAAAGTTTGACACTATTCCGAACATAAAGAATGTTTCATCGTTTTGAATGTCACATGAGAAACATGAACATCACATTGCTGCTCTGATATTTTTACAGTCTCTTGCTGATCCGCAAAGAATAGCAGAATCAGATGAATTCATAGAACAAAAATGGCAAGAAAGGATTCGAAAAAGATGCAAATCAAATAATCTTTCGGTGCAATCATCTGGCTGTCTAACTGCATCGACTGAAATGATGGAAACAACTGAAGCTGCTGCTCATGAAATGGTGGAGGCAGAGAATAGTGCTTTTATGCAGCAACTTGAAAGTTTGAGGGTGAAAAAACGTGCTCGCCCTTTTCATCAGCGTTTTCCTGGCAAGGTGAATTTTGTCCAACTTATGCCATTTGAATAGTTGTTTGAAATATTAGGAATTTATTGAAGTTTACGAACTTTGGTTTTTTGAATAGTATTCTCTCTGTTTGGATTAGCCGTTGTTAATGTTAGTGCTTTCCAGTGTAGGAGACATTCGCGCAAATCACTAACTTGTGGAAAAAGCTGGATAATGAATTCTACAATAATAAGGAAGCAGTTCACTTACTCTTAATGAAGTGCCTTATATTAAAAACAAAACCGAATACATGTTATGAAATTTTGTCTTACTACACTTTTTACTTGTTTGTTCAAATATTTTATGCATACTTTAATTTTTTTTTACAGAACAGTGGGATTATACAAGCAGTTGCGCTGAATTCTCCGTCAGTTCATCATTCTGCAGCAACTACTGCTTATCAGTTGGCTGATCCTATTTCTGGGTCTCAGAACGAACGATCAAGTGCAGTGCAACCCGATCAGCTTTCTTTTTCTGCTAGTGATGCAGCAAGATCCAGTGCTATTGCTGGTAAAATAAGGTCCCGTGATGGTAGTAGTAGAATCTGGTCTGACGTAGGAATTTCTGGTGAATTCAAGCCTGACGATAATTTCGATGGAATCAGGACAGGAAATGGTTACTTACTGCAAGAAACCAGTGTTTCATCACATCCAACACAAGTTCATCGTATGATGGAAGCGAGGTATCAGTTGGTTAATCCTGTATTTGTAGCTCACAAAGTAGCAACATCGACATCACCTGCGCGGTTTGTTCCTTCATCATGCAGTAATGCTGTTGGAATTAGGCACAGTGTTAGTAATACTACTGTTCCGATGTGTTCTACACAAGAAATGACAACAGTGCGATATCAGGTACCTGAGCCTGTATTCATGCCCGAAAACAGTCAATCGATACCAGAGCACTTTGTTTTTCCTGTTTCCAATACAGTTAATTCTGATGTGGTTCAGAAGATTCTAACATCGACAGTAGGTACTGTGGAGCCAAGTGGAGACTGTGGTGCTAGTGATCGTGGTATCATGCCTTCGTCACCAATCAAAGAGAGCAGCCTTCTAAGAGAATTGCATAGTGCACCGTCAATGGATAAGTCGATAGAAGTGATGCTGCAGGAGAATAGCACTGAATGTTATCGTTTTGTTGAACAGTTTGCTTCAACTATGAATTCTCGATCGAACGTCGTTAGCAATGCAGCTAATGCGGAAAGCGAAATAACTCGTATCGCACAACAGCTTGCCCAGTCGGCAGGTGATGCACTCAGATCTGTCGATAATAGTAGTGGTAGAGTGAGATCTGGTGATGGTAGTGGTTCAACTATCTCCGTTGGTGTTATGAATGTGACCAAATCCGCCGACCCTGATACTGTCGAGATTAGGTCCAGCGATGATAGGGAAGAAACGCAATGACTTTAATGCTTCCTTTGTATGCTTTGATTTTCAATTTTCATTCGCTTAGAACAGTTTTGAAAATAGGTAAGGTACGACGACTAATCCTTACTTTTTACCTTTTTTACCTTCTATTAGGCTCAGATGCTCAGAACTTTCTTCATGTTCTGCTCACAAGGTGAGATGTGTCGAATGTTTTTTGATTTTAATGTATTATCCCGGTGTCTTATCAAGGCTGGATCTTTTAGAAAAACTCGGTAGAATACCGGGGATTTCTAATAAGATCCAATGGAATTTCAGTAGCTATCCACTGTGGTATTTGTAGTGGTTCGGTATAGAAAATGTATGTTTTTTACTGACTTGATAGATTATTTCGGTGTCTCTCCCAAACTGGGATGCTAAAAAAAAACTCAATAGGACATCAGGAATCTTAAATTGATGTCTTTGAAAATTATGTCTTTGACCTGTATATGTCTTTGTACTATTTTAGAAAACATTCCTTGAAGGTAGTTCTATTTTCTTTATACTTCTGTAATTTTAGATACTTTTCCATTTTTCATTAAACTGCCTAAATTTTATTTTTCGCTTGTTGAAAGTAGGATTTGCTTATTGTTGCAGTCTTGTACATTCAGTGGTCTAAATAAAGGAATTTAATAGTAATGTACAAGGGAGGAGGTCAACAGAACCATACAATCTAGTTTGAAAATTTCAACTCAGCTTACTGTTATGAAAATTTTTGACATCTGGTTGGTTACATAGACATGACTTTTCGCTTTTATTACTTCTTTCTTTTTATTTCTTCGTCCAGATCCGGCGGACAGATTAGGGAAAGGAAGTAGAAAATAATATCATATGATCATTTGTAAAGCTATAATTTTTCGATGTTTCATATCTATACTTTCCTTATTCTGCTGTATATTATAGTAAAATTTGTTAAAAAAGTCTTGCTGATTGATTATATTTTGTTGGGTTGAATAAAATCAAACGAACTTATTTAAAAAATAAACTGACAATAAGACGTTCTTAGAAATTTCAGCCCTCACTTCAGCCGCATCCATTGATTAGGGTGGCAGTAATTTTCACTGTGATTTTAAATATTGAACGTGAGGCATTGTCCAATCGTTATAGATATCGAGACACTTGGTACATCACCATGTCCAGCATGTAATTACATCACGATTTCAGTACTGTTCTGAATTACCTGACATTTTGTTCTCCAGGTGGAAGAGTCATTTTTTCGTTGTGGAAAGTGCGGTAACATTTCACTTTTTGAATTGTTCAGATCTTGCTCAAATCCCGAAGCAAACATAGGTCTAACTTAATTTTTAGATAAATGGCATCTCGCAGAGGTGTGATCGTGTTACTGCGTTCCTTACAACGTCGTCCGTATTTGATACCAACGTCATGCAGTGCTGCTTCTACTGCTCGTCTTTTCTACACAACTCGATCTACTGGCAAACCAGCAGTGGCTGAAAGTTTCGAATTTCAGGCAGAAACAAAGAATTTGTTAGATATTGTTGCAAAATCACTTTATTCTGATCAAGAGGTTAATTTTCTGTTGCTGTATGGGAAGTCTTTATTTCTAAACAGTTCAGCCTTACTCTATACTTCGATCTGAATAGTCTTTTGAGATCCTCTCCTGTTCAAGTGAATAATCCTTTATACATCATACGTTAATGTTTAAGGTTTTTATCCGGGAATTGATATCAAATGCAAGTGATGCTCTGGAGAAGAGACGATGCAAACATCTGGAAACCAATAAAGATACGAATATTGCTTATGAAATCAAAATAACCACAGATGAGGATGCACGGTTGATTATTTTCGAAGATAATGGAATTGGAATGGACAAGGAAGATTTAGTGAACTGTCTAGGGACCATAGCTAAATCAGGTGAAATATTAATTGGAGCTCTATCCTTTCGGACTGCTGCAGCCTATTTATCTCCAGTGCTGCACTGTCTCTAGTTATCTGTATCTTACCACAAAATCATTGGGAATACAAAAAATATTTAGTACCCTGAAAACGCATTAATGATCTTGCATACTTGAGCGTTGATAATGATAAATTCCGGTTATGCTGGCAACTTCCAAATTTCCCACCAACAATTCTCTGTGTTTGATGAGAATAATTAGTTTTAAAGGCTACCAAGAAATTTTTTTTTGCTTTCTGAGAATATAGGCGAGAGGAACGGCAAGGTATTGTTAATATAACATTGGCATAAATTAAGCTTTCTAAGCCATCAAATCTTAATAATGCTGTGTCCTATGTCCAAGCTAATTTCTGTCAGATGAAACAGTCTCTATCTTTTTAAATTAGTAAGATCACTTTTTATCTAAATCTTATTAGTTGATAATAATTTCATTTTACTGCGTTTACTTTGTTATTTCCCGAAATTTACGGTCATATGGTAGCAGGATTTGTATTGGACAAAACAGTCTCAATCTTTCCATATCAGTTTTACTATCTTTTTTCTGTTTAGGATCAAAAAAATTCATGGAAGAGCAGTCTTCGCTAGGTCATGTATCCACCGAAAGCATTATTGGGCAATTCGGCGTCGGTTTCTACTCGGCATTCATGGTTGCAAATAATGTTGTAGTGAAAACGCGTAAAGAAGATAGCGATAAAGGTTATTTGTGGAAATGGAATGGGTATGTTTGAATAACGCTTTAAATCGTTTGTATTTTGAGTTACCGTAATACTTGTAGCTGCACGGTATTCAAAAACTTATTTCTAGGAGGAAATAATATAGTTCGGATTATCTTGTTAATACCTTTGTAAAGTAAATCTTATAGAGGAGATGCGTATTCAGTGGAAGAAGTCGATTCGTTACCTGTAGGTTCACGTATTGAAGTTACACTTCGTCCGGGTAGTGCAACGGAATTTGCGAAAAAAGATAAGGTTGTAGAGGTGATCAGCAAATATTCTTACTTTATCACTCTACCGATCACGGTGAATGGCGAACGGGTGAATACCGTGGACGCAATTTGGACAATGAATCCGAAGGAGGTGACCTCCGAAATGCATGACGTTTTCTTCCGACAACTCGCCAAAACCCATTTACCTCATCTAGTGAATGATCGTCCACAATATACTATCCATTATAAGGTTACACAAACTTATTTAATCTCAGATTTATTTTTTCATTAAATTCCATGACAGTTTACCCGACTCACAGGTTTTTTTGAAATGGTATTGCATAAATGCTCATTTCGTCACCCGCGTTATATGAAAACCATAGCAATGCACTGAATATTTGCAAAATAGCGTTTTAAATTGCGAATTGAAACTGTCACACTGTAATTTTGGGATTAAAATTCAAACATATACATGTTGTAGGCAGATGCTCCGATAAATGTCAGATCTTTGCTATATGTTCCATCTCACAATGTATCGCAGCTTGAGTTTGCCGGCTCGGCCGATCAGTCGGGAGTATCTCTATATGCGCGAAGAGTCCTTATAAAGGTTTCTTTTAGACCACCTATGATTGACAAGCAATTTATTTGATACCTGGAGTTGTAAAAATATCAGCGCTGTGCGATCGTCCTTTGCACGTATCAAATAAATTGGTATGGAATGTTCAAAAATTCCAGCAGTTTCTAATACAGATGACTTATCTTACGTTGGGAAAAAATACAAGAAATTTACCAATTGAATGAACCCTCAATTCATTTATCATTCGTTCTTCATTTCAGTCAAACGCCAAAGATCTTTTACCGCGATATTTACGTTTTCTAGTTGGTGTAGTCGATTCGGAAGATATTCCATTGAATTTGAGTCGGGAAATGCTGCAGATGGATGCTATCCTTGTGTAATGCCTTTTTTTTTTTTTTCATTTGTCGAGATTTCTAGCTTTTGCGTATGATCCTGTAAGCAATATGAAGATTGCGAATTTGTATTTCGCCTTTATCTGGAGTCTTGAAAATGCTACCTTTTAGCAGAAATTAACACATAAAACCAAAAAAGCATGATGTGCACGAAACATCCGCAAGTGAACTTATTAGAAATTCTGCAGCACTTTCTCAACAGTAACTACGAAGTGGATATGGGTAGATACAGCTAAGCTATAGAAATAATTGAGTATATATTGACAATCTTTTCATTAATATTCTTTTTGATTTGTTTCGAATAGGCAATGTTACTTTTGGTAGCACTTGAAATTATTGTTATTGTGATTACAAAATGTTCAGGAAATTGCGTCAAATTTTAACCGACAAAGTAGTATCATATTTTGTAAACGAAATGAAGAAGGATCGAATAAAATACAAGGAATTCTACGGTGGTTATTCTTTATATTTTAAGGAAGGTATTTGTACCGAGACTGATCAAAACATTAAGGTTAGCCTAAATTCGTTCGAACTAAGACACACTACTATTCGTCCTCACCTTCATTTATTCTTGATTTAGTCTGCTTTGAAAGTCGTAGCTGGACGTTATGCTTCGAAAAAAAACAAGTCAACTTTAAAGTTGAAGTTATAAAACTAACCTTAGATTAGTTTTGTCGAAGTGTTAACTTTACATTTAAATGGAATCCTCGCTTTTTTGTGCGATATCAACTCGTTCCACCAGAATACTTCCAAGACTAAAGTATTTTGTGTTGTGGTTTTTATATCCCTAGGAAGTTCTGAGTTATCAGAAGGAGGATAGGACCGTTCTTAGAAGAAGCCACCGCTGAGAAATTAAAAAATGAAATGATGTCATTCCTATCAACTGTTTAATTTCTATATTTCCTAATGGTTTGAGTCAGTTAAATGGAGAGTTTTAGGAACAGATTGGTTCGCTGTTGTTGTTTGAATCATCCAATCTCAAAGCAGGAACGTTAACTAGCTTGGATGAATATGTGGACCGAATGCAAAAAGATCAGAATGAAATTTATTACTTATTTGCTCCGAGGTAATTCTTTATGGTGTTATGCTATTTGTATTAAAGTTTTTGAGATGTGCAGGAATTTCGAAGATATGAATTGTACAAAAATACTTTGTGCAAGTTGGAATATATAATGAAGTGGTGCTTCCCGAGATTTTCAAATAAACTCAGTACCAAACTGCACTTCAAAACATTCAACTTCATAGAGAGTGAGATTCGGTTCACCCGTAATTAGATCGTCTCTTTTTTTTCCAGCCGTCAGCTTGCAGAACATTCCCCCTATTATGAAATGTTCAAATCAGCAAACAAGGAAGTTCTTTTTGCATATGATGCTGCCGATGAAGTTTGCTTATTGGCTATGCAGCAGTTCCGTATGAAGTCAATTAAATCAGCGGAAAATTGGACTCGTATCGAAGCAGGTGGTGACTCTCAAACTGCAAGTAAGTAATGTAGTTCTAACTATATTACTTACATTTGAAAGAGTTGAAAAACTCAAATGTTCTTTGTTCTTTCATAGTTCGTTTAATTCTAAACATCAGTTTTGTGTACTTTGTATTACTACGACGTATTACTACTTTGTACTACTATTTGTATTACTACGTTTCAAACTTGGTCTAACCTTTTCTTTATCAATGTAATGAACTACGATTTGCCACTAGAATAATTTACTCTCCCCAGTCGAATATAGCAGTGTTTTTTGTTTTAAAATTACATAAATTTTGTTCCAGCAATAACGATACGTGATGCTGACAAGAAAGAGTTACTCGACTGGTTGAAAACTGTATTGGGAAGCGTGAAAGTGAATGAAATAAAGGTATTTGCAATGCAGATCGACAATAACAGTAGAGTAGGCTGACTGATTGTATTGCTCAAAATCATTTTCTGGCAACCAATATTTAGCCATGGCACCACTTCTCTGCTAGGAAGAATGCTAGACATAGTGGCCAGTATCGATGTAATCCGGATTACATCTAGCTTTATAATGAAGCATCTGTTTATAGCTTGAAGCGTCTACAAAGACCAACAGCAAAAAAAAGAAAATTATTCCTGTGCTACAGAGCTCGGGTACAACAAGCGAACATCCTTGCATGATCACAATTGGTGCTGAAATGGGTGCTGCTCGTCATTTTCTTCGTGTTGGGCAAGTGAAGGATACCGAGCATCTGGCTTTTTTGAAACCAACTCTTCATGTCAACTTAAATCATCCAATTATCAGTGCACTAATTAAACTACACAAATCGGAACCGGCAGTAGCTGGTCTTGTCGCTGAGCAGGTACTAATATGCTTTTTATTTCAGTAAGAAATACACTTTGCAACTTTCGAAATAGATATTTCAAAAATACAAGCATGGATTCAGTTGGTAATAAACTAGTCTTGGATTTCGGAATTTACCAGTGATTATTTGTTTGATTTTTTGCTACTTTTTATCACCCATCACTACTTATGCAGGAAAACATCGAATCTCACTCAACTGTATAATAAGACAATTTTTGCGGCGATCTGCTCTATTTTGGCTTGGTTCATAAGTTCTAAGTTATTAGTAAAGCTACCTCACAATTTTTTCGAGAAAAAAAAAGAAAAAAAAACTCGGCACTTAATTCTGTGTGATATACAGAGCCGCTGTCAGACAAAAAAGATGCAGTGGATATTTTGTCTAGTATTCAGTAATCTAGAGTTTTATAAGATTTATAATCAAAAAATTTTATGTTCAGTAAGGACTTTAGAATTTTAGAATTTGAAGAGACAAAACAAAGTCATGCTTTTTTGATTTTCAGATCTACGACAATGCTCTGATAACTTGCGGATTGATGAAAGATTCATCGAAAATGGTTGACCGGGTTAATCGGCTGCTAAGTGAGCTTCTGCAGCCTAAGTCTTCTATACTTACACCCTGATTTCTTAACTGTTATTGTTACTTGTTATTTCGATCTATTTGAATCCTGAACAATACGCTTCGAATGACTAAGGCTTGATGATCAGCGTAACTTTTTTTAACGTGAAATATTTCTAATTCTGGTTCTCGAAATTTTGGGAAACCAAAATAGAAATGCGAGTAGCGAATTGTTTTTCCCAGTACGCATGAAGTTCCAGCTAAAATAGAGTATTTGTTAGAATATGTGGTGAGATTTGTTAATCGTCATAAAATCGATCCCAGTATGTTTTTTATTTGTGTTATTCATGTCATGTATTGATGTCATATTTCTCCTGTTAACTGAATAAAAATTGTCGAAAATAGAAAAAAGTTTGCATATGTTTAGGGGATCGCAGATTCCAGATGGTATTCCTCTGCTATATTCATCCTGAGGCATTCATCCGTTGTCTTTAATGTAGTGGTTACATATTACTTCATCCATTCTTAGCCTAATCAACATTATCGACATAGACTGCTGGGAAGATGCAGGCTCTACTCCAAGCGTACGAGGAAATGCCTCCTGTAACGAGGATTTATACGACCGCATGTGTCTTAACTACACTTGCAGTGGTAAGTATATAGATTATTGGTTGCAATTTTTTGTTATCTAGAGTTATTTCGACACTCGTTTGTAGCAGAGTGGAGATATTTGACCAGTAACTCTTTTTCGGAATTATAGTATCCTTTATGTTCCTGTTTTTCCTTCAATGGCTTCCTTTTGGTTCCAGTTTAACTGTTCACCAAATAAGTTAATACTGCGTTCTCGAACTGCTCACCTGGCCTTTGACTTTGTGTACAAAAGAGACAAATCACAACGTTTAAATGGCTTGTACAAAAAAGACAAATCATAACGTTTAAATGGCTTGTACAAAAAAGACAAATCATAACGTTTAAATGGCTTAGCATCCTTCATACTGTATGACTTTAAAATTGCGCATAAGTTTCTATGCGCTTTTATTGATTTAACTCGAACTGTGGTGCATTGCGGTTGCTTTTATTTCAGCAATTGGATTTTGTTACGCCATTTCATTTATATTTTAACTGGAATCTAATTATTTATGAATATGAAGTAAGTTGGCTTTTTTATAGTAACGAGATATGATTTACTGCCATTCACAGGTTTTTTGAGCAGTCTTCGTCCTTGATAGCATAGTTAAAAAAGGAACTTTCGACTCTGCTGGATGTATACTATAAAATACTGAAATTTGAAATCAATCTGAACAAATGATTATTGATTAGAAGTTATTTAACATCAGTCGATGAGAAATAGTTTGGATTCACTGACAGATTATTATTTGCAGAGATATCTGATATCCGTTTAATTTGGCAATATTTAAATCCCTGATTTTTGTTGTTTATAACTTCAAATAAATTCTTTCCAGTTTTGGCGACTGTTAACATCGTTTTGTTTCTTTGGTTCATTTGGATTTAGTTTTTTGTTCAATATGATTTTTACGTATCGATATTGCATGATGCTCGAGGAAGGTTCGTTTCGTGGACGGCGTGCTGACTTCGCTTTTATGTTCATTTTTGGAGCAGTTTTTATGGTAATATATTTTGTACATTTCCCTCTTCAAGCTTGAATCGTGTTTTTGTTAAAATATGGAATAATTTATCACTTTTAATCTTTTCGGAAAGAATTGCGTCTTTTAAATATATTTGTTCATGTTTAAACATGGTGAAGTGTAGTGACATTTTGTTCTTCCGGTTAAATGTCATGAAATTTTTAATGTGGTTTTTTGAATCTTACATTAGACATTTAGAAAGAATTTTGAAGTAGTGAAAATGTTAAGTGAGGTTTTCAGATATTTATAGCTGCCCTGATAATTGATTTATAAGACACTGTTTAGTAATCAACAAGAATTTCAAGGCGTTACTCACCTTATTTTATAGAATGCCTGTTAGGGATAGGTATGCTTGTTGTCTTTCTCCATTTAGTTAATTTTGGAAATTTGATTATTTTGTTAATGCTCAAAGGTTTTTTTTTCTTTTTTTCTTCTTGGACTAAGTTGAACACTGTTTAAAACAATCAGTTATTCGAACAGCATGGTTTCATGCAAAGCAGTATTTACATAGTCAAATTCATTACAATTCTGAAGATCATTTTCTTGTTAATTTGGATAGGATTTCGTTGGCATATATGTTATGGAAGATAAAATCTTTTACAGGAAAATGATAGAGTTTCCTATCTCCGATGAAGATATAATTGACATTAACAATAGTAATCATTAATGATGAATTCAAATCTCTTTGCTGCAGTTTATGAATGTTTTAGATTGTTTGTGGTACTTTTGTTCATATGGTATTTCTTGGACAGGCTTTTACCATTATGCTTGTTTATGTGTGGAGTAGACGGAATCCATATGTACGCATGAATTTTTTTGGTGTTCTCAGCTTCAATGCTCCCTATTTACCATGGGTGTTGCTTTTATTCTCACTGCTTCTCGGTAACAACGCTATCGTTGATTTCATGGGTGAGTTAAATTCAAATTTGATATATTGTATTCTGAACTTCAAAAATTTTCGCAGAAAATTTCTTATAAATTCTAGTGCATTCTTTCTGATTCGTAACAAGTTTGTGAAATCTGGATTTCGACAGTCTTATGGTTCATTTAGAATATCAACTCCTATTTACTGATTTGGATCACTATTAATGGTGAACTCCCAGTTCTAATAAAAGAATTGCTCACCATGCATTAGACCAACATTTTTAATATAAGCGAGTCGTTTTGGTCACTTTTAACGTGCTGTATTCACTAAGTCCTTCCAGTCATTTTTTGAACGGTCGTCAATGGTCATTTGACTATGCCAGATATGGCTTATGCTCGCTTCTTTAGACCTAATCTGGTTAAATCGAAAGAAATTGTGATAGTAACTTATTTGATATTGTAATTCAGAACCAATACTTTCAGGAATAGCATGTGGCCATTTCTATTTCTTCTTGGAAGATGTGTTTCCGTTACAACAGAATGGTTTTCGTGTTTTGCAGACACCTCACCTATTAAAGTGGCTACTAGATCCGGTTCCCGTTGGACCTGTTGATATAGATGAACGACCCGGTGGTTTCATTTGGGGTGAACAGCCACCTGTACCTGAATAGCCCTTAAATTGATATTTCGTATGCGCTGTATTTCTCTTGAGGGAATTCGTATTTGTTTGAAGGCTCGTACGACTGTAGTTTGAGATTTTTAGTGATATCCTCTTGTTTGCATTTTTCATATCTTTAAAAAGGTCATTAGCATTCTGCAGTTGTTGGTTTCGACTCACGTGCCTCTCTGATTGGATATATCAACGGAATATGTTGATTACCATTATCTTACAAAAAAAAAAAAACAAAAGTGGAACGCGAACGTGGAGATCATTTGTTCAATTATAATTAACGTTGTTGTAAAGTCTATTTATGAGGCATATTTTTTAAATTATAAGGACAAGGACATATCCAGCTGTTTTCTTTTACTTGCGCTATCGCTTTCTCTTTGTGCTGTGATATGATCCTGAAATTTAAAAACTTATTCATTTATTGCATATTTTTCTTTGGATACATAGCTGCACAGATAATGTGTAATAGGTTCTTTTGGATTGGGTGCATTATGTTTATCGTGAGTTAATATGCTGTACGATACATTTTC